AGTTCTGCTGTTACACATCTGAAAAAAAATTTAATTATACTTATTATAAATATTATAAAAATCGGTGCGAAAGAAAATAAAAGCGATTATTATTATTGTTGAATATTTCTAGTAAAGTAAACTCTCGTAGAAATAAAATATTTGTAATTTTGAACGTCGTTTTTGACCTGTGGAAACTAAACTTGTCGAGACAGGAAAACTGCTGCAGATGTGCCAAGAATTTGGCAAATATGGTTTTTATTGCGGTCTAACAGCCCTTTCCAGGTCCTAGGTATGACAGTATGCGTGTTTGTGTGTGAGCAATGATCTTGAGTACCTGATGTGCCTATGATCGGCAGTTGTCTAAGGAACTTTGAAGAGAGTACTGCGTTACTCCGATATTTTCCTCTCTAATAATTTCTAATAAATATACTTTGCTTTAATTTGCCTTTTTGATTTATTTAAATAACCAACAGGTTATGGGCCCAGCACGCTTCCACTGCGCCAGTGTGTAGCATTTTAGAAAACAATACTCTACAAGGTATTGTGTCAGAAAAGAAAAATATAAGTGATATCTTTACAACTCGTGCCTCCGATAGTTTTCGCGTTTCGGTTTATAGTGTTATCGCGCAACATTAACCAATTCTTCAAAATGGAAAACAAGGAGAATTTAGATTTACCGAAATTGGATGGCAAAAATTATCAGTTATGGAAGTTCGGCGTCACATTCGCTTTGCGAGCAAAAGGACTTACGTGTTATATCGACGACACTGAATTAGAGCCGAACAAAGAAACTGAACTTGAGAAATGGAAAAAATGGGAAAAAGCTACATCGCAAGCAGCGGTAATTCTCATTGGCTCAGTGGAAAAGTCATTGTTTCCATATTTAATAAATTGTTCAACACCAAAGCAGATTTGGGATAAACTTGCTACTTTATATGCAGAAAGTAGTGAAGATGCTAAACAAAGTGCATGGCAACAGTTCTACGAATTTCGGATCAAGGACGGAGAATCGATAGCTTTACAAATTGAAAATTTTGAAAGCATATGCAGCAAGCTTTCAGATGTAAATGATAAACCGTCAGATTCAGCAATCGAGTCAAAGATACTAAGCAGTTTGCCACAAAAATTCTCAACTTTTAGGATGGCTTGGGAATGCACTCCTAAAACAGAAAGGAAAAAAGATATTCTTATAGCAAGGCTCATACGAGAGGATAAGCGTCTCTCAGAAACAAATGAGGATGTAACTTCACTTGCTCTTCAAATTCAAGCCTTTAATTTAAAAAACCAATCACAAAAGAATGCTAAATGGAGTAACGCTGAGAAAAAGGAATTTCGAAAAAAGAAAATAGAAAACTTGAAGAAAAGAACAAAGTGTTCAATTTGCAGAGAAAAAGGGCATTGGGCAAAAGAATGTCCAAAGAAAGTGAATAGCGCAAAAAGTGGACAATCAGAATCTAGTGGAAGTCACATCGAAGATTCTTCATTCATAAGTGAAGCAAATGCGTGTTTGAGTAATATGAGTGCGTGTTATTCGGACATGGATTACAGTGAACAAGATTTGTGGTTAGCGGATTCAGGTGCTAGCATGCACATGACATTCAGGAAGGATTTTTTCACTACCCTGAAGCAACTTAGTGAGAATCATTTTGTGAGAATCGCTGACAACAAAGTGTTACCTGTAGCCGGAACAGGTACTGTGACAATTACTGAAAAAGTGAATGGTGTAATTCGAGAGAGAGAAATGAAAAATGTTCTTTATGTGCCTGGTTTGAAGCGAAATCTTTTTTCAATCGGAACTATAAATGATAAAAAATTTTCTTATCACTCGTACGGTCAAAAGTGCGAAATTAGAGATGCTAGCGGACAAGTAGTGTCGTGTGGTATACGTCATGGCAAACTGTTTAGGATGTTGTTTAAAGTTAAAATGCCAATGGAGTGTAATGTCGCGAATAATGAAGTTAAGTTGCAGGAAAATAAGCTTAAACTGTGGCATGAACGATTCGGACATATTAACATTAGTGCGGTTAAAAATACGTGCAAAGTGTTTAACGATAAAAATTTCACGATTGGCAAGGAAGATAATCTGTTTTGTGAACCGTGCGTGTTAGGGAAACAAACGCGTAAGCAACATATCTCGGTCAAGCATGATAGCAGTTTTAAAGCAGGTGAGAAAATACACACTGACATCGGCGGTCCAATTCATATTGAATCTCCGCGTGGAACAAAGTATTTCATACTTTTCAAGGATGAATGTACTAGTTATAGAAAAGCATATTTTTTTAAGACAAAAATCGGAAGCACTTGAAAAATTTAAAGAATTCGAGAATCTGGTGTTTAATCAAACGGGAAACAAAATAAAAGTTCTGCGCTCAGATAATGGAAGAGAATATATCTCTGAAGATTTTTCTAAGTTCACAAAATGTAAAGGGATAATTCATGAATTTTCGTCGCCGTATATTCATGAACAAAACGGTCGAGCCGAACGTGAAATACGTACGATTGTAGAGAGCGCTAGAACAATGTTACTGAGCAGCAACGTCGATAGAAAATTGTGGCCGGAAGCCATAAACACTGCGTGTTACGTGTTAAATCGTGTTATTTTGCGGCATGGTGAAATAAAAACTCCTTTTGAAAAATGGTTCAAGAGAACTCCAGAAATCAAACACTTACGTGTGTTTGGATCAGCAGCCTATGTCAACGTCCCAAAAGAAAAACGAAAGAAGTTGGATCCAAAAAGCAAAAAGGTTATTTTTGTTGGCTACGATGGTGATTCGACAAACTACAGATTGTGGGACAATTCAGCAAGCAAAATATACGTTAGCAGTGATGTTGATTTCAATGAGGACGAAAAAGTAAGGAAGGAAAATAGAAAAGAAAGTACTTTTTGTCCGGAAATTGTTTTCGATACTGACAGGGATGCAGAGCCTGAAGTTCACGAGGAAGCAGAAGATGTTCAACGTGTACAAGATGTTGAAGCACCAAGGGAAGTACCACGTCAAGAGGATGTTCAGCAAGATGTGCCACAAGGCAGGCAACTGCGTGATAGAAGACTGCTTAATCCACCTGATCGCTATGGATTACCCGTTGCATACATTGTCGATAATGTTCCACTTACTTTCAGCGAGGCAATGTCAGGTCCAGATGCAGAAAAGTGGAGAAAAGCAGTGAATGAAGAGATGCAAGCTCTATCCGAGAACAAAACCTGGTCCCTTTCTAACTTACCACCAGGTAGACGAGCGGTTGGATGTAAATGGATTTTTTCCATTAAAACTGATGCCAGTGGTCACAACAGCAGGTATAAAGCAAGACTTGTAGCAAAAGGTTTCACCCAGCGTTATGGTGTAGATTACTTTGAAACTTTTGCCCCTGTTGTTCGGTATGAGTCAATTAGGATTCTGTTGTCAATTGCAAGCAAGGAGGATTATGAGATAGCAAAATTTGATGTCAAAACAGCGTTTTTGTATGGAGAGCTTCTTGAGGATATTTACCTGCAACAACCGGAGGGATTCATCGACGAAGATAATGGAGACTTGGTTTGTAAATTGCACAAAAGTCTTTATGGATTAAAACAGTCCCCCCGCTGTTGGAATGAGAAGTTTGTAAAATTTTTGAAAAATTTCTCCTTTGAAGCCATCTCAAGTGACAAGTGTGTGTTTGTTGGTGCAGTGAACAACATTTCAGTATATTTAGCACTGTATGTTGATGATGGCCTTTTAATTTGTGAGTGTCAAGATGCGATTGATAAAGTGCTAAATTATTTAAAAAGCCATTTTCAAATAACTGTGGGTTGCCCGAATGATTTTGTCGGTATGGAAATTGTACGTAATCGATCAGAGCGTACTTTAAAAATTAGTCAACCTGCTTACATCGAAAAATTGTTAATAAAATTTGGGATGATAAATGCAAAGTCATCTTCTGTTCCTGCAGAACCCGGATTATATTTGACTAAAAGTGATGTGAATGATAAGAATGATTCTTTCCCTTATCGCGAAGCTGTAGGGTCACTTTTGTTTTTATCTCGGGTTTGTCGTCCAGATATTGAATTTGCAGTAAATTACGCGAGTCAATTTTTAAGTTGTTTTAACCATGAGCATTGGCAATCAGTTAAGAAAATACTCAGATATTTAATAGATACGCGTAATTATGGCATTGTTTTCGGAAGCAGTGGGAGTTACGTTAATTTAACAGGTTTCACCGACGCTGATTATGCTGGTTGTTTAGAGACACGGAAATCTAGAAGCGGATTTGTATTTTTGCTCAATAATGGTCCAATTTCTTGGTCCAGTCAGCGTCAAAATGTAGTGTCTTTGTCTACAGCTGAGTCTGAGTATATTGCCTTGGCTCATGGTACAAAAGAAGCTGTTTGGTTAAATCGAATGTTGAGTGATTTGAAAATCATAAATAACCCTGTTCCGATTTTTGTTGATAATCAGTCAGCTATAAAATTGGCTAATAATTCCGAATTTCACAAGCGGTCAAAACATATTGATGTCAGGTATCATTTTGTAAGAGATGTTTTGAATCGAAACGAAATCAACTTATTTTATGTGGCATCGGAAAATCAATTAGCCGATATATTTACAAAACCTTTGTCAAAGCAGCAGTTCTGTTACCTGCGAAGCAGATTGAATGTAACGAAGGAACAAAATTAAGTGGGAGTGTTGAATATTTCTAGTAAAGTAAACTCTCGTAGAAATAAAATATTTGTAATTTTGAACGTCGTTTTTGACCTGTGGAAACTAAACTTGTCGAGACAGGAAAACTGCTGCAGATGTGCCAAGAATTTGGCAAATATGGTTTTTATTGCGGTCTAACAGCCCTTTCCAGGTCCTAGGTATGACAGTATGCGTGTTTGTGTGTGAGCAATGATCTTGAGTACCTGATGTGCCTATGATCGGCAGTTGTCTAAGGAACTTTGAAGAGAGTACTGCGTTACTCCGATATTTTCCTCTCTAATAATTTCTAATAAATATACTTTGCTTTAATTTGCCTTTTTGATTTATTTAAATAACCAACAATTATTTTTTACATATTACCTCTTTAATAGCTTGAAAGTCATTTTCAGGCAATTCATTCTGATGTTTCAAAAATTGTCGTAATTTCAAAAGTACGGTATTATTTTTTGATGCATTCTGTAAATTAAGTTTTGATTTTTGAATTATATCACAATATTTATAATTCTTAAAAAAAATTATTTTTTATTTGATTGTGATTTGAACATTAATCACATTAATGAAGAGAAAAATATATTTTATAAACAATTTTTTATCTCCATTTGATGAAAAATAAAACTTACTTGTATTAAGTGATAGATATATTTGTTTTTTAAAACTACCAATTTGTATGTTCCATCATTTATAAAGCTTTCTAATGACGTAAATGTAGGAACAGGTGATTTTATTGATAGATAATTAATTAAAGATCCTGAATAGATCAACGAAATTATTAATGCTGATACAAAAATTGTAAACCAAGTTAATCTTAACGGAGTCTCGTTTGGAAATTCTGAAAATTGTCAAAATTTTATTAAATTCAAATCTTAAAAGGAAAATGAGAGAATTTAATTTTTACTAACAAGTTTTCAGCCTTGGTAAAAGTTTAGAAGTTAATCGGATTATATATATATATTTTTTTAAAAAAATAAATTCACACCTGCTGTTCCTTGAAGACAAAACATTCTCCAAACATTAAATAAATTATCCGGATATTGATTTTTCCAATTATAAATTTCATTACGATTTATGTATATATTCATTATTGTTAATATCACAGGTACCGTGAGAATAAAGAAAATAATCACGATCCAAATATCATAATGAAACGTCTAAAAAATAAACATCAAAGTTTTAACAATAGAACCATAAATGTATAGTTATTTAAATTCATTCATTTGGTTTACAATGTTCCAACCTTATTTGTTTGTAGTATTATTATTAAATTTATAATCAGTATGTAGTAATTAAATTCAATCTATATCCCAGATAGCACAGAAACTTGCAGCAAGCTTGCTGCAAGTTTCCGTGCTATCTGGGATATTATCAAAATATATAATGCTAGTACCTTAAAGTATTTCAAATATTTTCTTTTAACATTTGTTTCTTGAATGCAAAGAACAAGACGTGATGTACTAATTGGTGTTGCAAAATCTACCAATTTTAATCTACCCACAGTCATTATCATATTTGCAACAGCAATATCAGTTTCGTTGTTCATTAATTTCGCCACTAGACCACCAAACTCATTCCAATTACCGGCAGCTGATTTTATAATTTCTACATTTAATTTTAAATTTATTATCTGTGAGATACTGCCTAATACTTTACTATAAAGTCCATCTAATTTTTTGAAATCTCCAATTATCACTGAATTCTGTAAATTTATAAAATATTTCTTTTTGTTCCTCTGCTATCAAACTTTTTGGAACCTCATAAAAGAGGAGAATTGGAAAGCAAATAGGTAATACATACATTCAGTGAGCTAAGTCGCAAAGAAACACCACCAACATCATTTCTTCTTGAATAAAGAAATTTATTCCTTATCAACATTCTAAATCCATGTGTATTATTCCAAGTAGCCAAATTAAAAACTTGAGTATCATTCTTGTATAACGAATACCATTCTCGAAGAATTATATCATTGTCACATTTTACCAACATTTTTGTATTGAATCTCAAATTTAATGGATTGCCCTTGGGATGCATACAATAGTCATTTAACAGATTCTTTTTTTGCCATGTTGCAAAAATTATAAGCCATGAATTTTCTGATACACATACATTTTTTGTAAAATTTTCCAATTCTTCAACTGATTCATGAGTTGTTAAAAAAACAACGTACAATTGTTGTCGGAGATATTTTTTGTGATAAGAATTTATTTTTAAAAGTTTTTGATAATTTGTTGCCTGCGATGATATGCCATGAGATGAAAGCTCTTTTATAATTTTTGACAATAAATAAATATCTGCAATTTAAATTTAGATACATATAGCTATTTTATATTAAACAATATCCTTATCAAAAATAGTCTTCTCAAAAATCCGGATTTGTATCATCAAGGAAGAATATACTTTGAAGAAACTTTTATAATTTGTTTTTTGTTAAAGAAAGGAATTTTTAATTTAATAATATTATTTATAATGCAATGCTTGAAGTATGATATGGAACATAACATTAGTGAAAGAAGATAAATTTTTCCCTTCTAATTTAATTGATTAAAATTGAATTATTTTCTCCTTATTTTTGGAGTTTATTTCAATTTTACTGTGTTTTTTAAACTGATTTAATCTAAAGGTTCTGCCACCTGGGATTTTCTTCTTGATTTCGATTCTAGATCATAAATACATTATTTTCCAATAAAAACGAAAATCTTCTGTGGTGCCGTTTTTGAAAAAAGTCGATTTAAAAATTAAAAAATAAGAAAAACTCAACTTTTCTGCAAGGAATATTCATTTTAGAAAAAATTTCATCAGATGGAATTTGTAGATATTAAAAAAAGAATTTTTTTTGTTTCTGCCAAATTCATCTACAATTAATAATTTACCAGAAAAACAAAAAAATATATATAATGACAGGTTCATTATGTCCTGCCGCCGTCAGATGGCAGAAGCATGCAGGGAGCACAAAGTCGCAGATGTTCCTTATTTTCGTATTTCAATCGCATTTTTTTATGGATTTGCACAATCTTTCAGATTTAGAAAATTTATAACATAAGGACCCTTGGCATTTTAGCCGATTATGTAAAAGGTGTCCGTGTTTCGAGAGAAAAATATTTTTATCACACATGCTCAAAATATACGAAGTTGAAGTACCAAAGGTTTATCATTTTCACGTTCAGTGCCGTTTTTATAGGGCGATAATTAAATGCCAAAGAATTTCAAAGACAGTTCGACACATTTAAAAAATTATACTTTGAAAAACGAAAATTAGGAAAGTAATATAATAACATCTGCGACTTTGTGCTCCCTGCATTCTTCTGCCATCTGACGGCGGCAGGACGCAATGAACCTGTCATTATATTTTTTTTTTCGTTTTTCTGGTAAATTATTTATTGTAGAGGAAATTGGTAGAAACAAAAAAATTCTTTTTTTAATATCTACAAATTCCATCTGATGAAATTTTTTCTAAAATGAATATTCCTTGTAGAAAAGTTGAGTTTTTCTAATTTTGAATTTTTAAATCGACTTTTTTCAAAAACGGCTCCACAGAAGATTTTCGTTTTTATTGGAAAATGATGTATTTATAAACTAGAATCGAAATCAAGAAGAAAATCCCAGGTGGCAGAAACTTTAGGTTGAATCGGTTTTAAAAAGCACCGTGATTTATTTCCTTACAGAAAATCGAGAAAATAATTCAATTTTAATTAATAAAATTGTTTATTCATATAATCCACTTTAAAATTTTCTTTCTAAGCTTACCTTCTGTTGAGTGATTTTGAACAATAATTACAGAAGATGCATCATATAATAAACGAACTGGAGAAATTAAATTTGCATAAATTTTTTCTTGAGATATTTTCTGCACTTCCAAACTATTCACAACACATATTACTAATAAATATATAAAATAAAGCATTTCTAGGAAAAAAAAGCTTTAGGCGCACTTTTATATTATATTTTTAATGCAACCACTCTCTGTATAAAAACATTTATTAAAACTTTTTTCGAAATAGAATATACATTTTTATTTTATATAATAAAATAATTAGTTTTTTTTTGATCTGATTATTTCAATAATAGAATTAGTTTGTTAATTATTCAATGAGGTTTAATTCATTACGGTACAAATGCAGTTATATTGTAAAAAGCGCATGTCCCTGATATTAGTTTTTTTTCATTGTCAGAAATACGTGAGAACATAATATAGAATATCAGAGCCGATAACAATCAAGATTATGAATATGATTCTAAGTAATTAAATATTTTTGTGGAACACATTTTTTTCGAATGGCTCTAGCATATGCGACATTTACTATTATCAGATGCTTACAGTAATAATTGAATCCCTAATCGATTTTCTAATATTAAAATCAGAAAGCAGTCTATTTCTGATACCTTATTAGGAAATAATGTTTGGAATGGAAAAATTAAGTTTCACATTTTTTTCTCTTGATTGATTGTGATTGTTTTAATAGAAACCTTGTTGTCGTTGAATAATTTAATTTTCTGCAATTTTTTCTCTTTATATTTCTTCTTATAATATGTAATTTCGGCGAAAAATACTAAAAAACTCATGGCGATTCCAATTATAAGGGTTTGAGAAATTAATATAATGCCAGAAAAATCAAATTGATCATCATTAGTTTCATTTTCATAGGGCTTCGTTTTTCGTAATTTATTTCTACTTATGATTTTCAAATATCCAGAAGTTGATAGTTGCACGATTCTAAAAACAATTAAAATGTTTTAATGCAATGTTTTAATTAAAAAAAAATGTAATATATAAAAACACTTACTTATAATTGATAATATCTAAATAAGGATTACGCTTAGTTAATGTGAATGGACTATATTTAGGACCATCTTTAAGTTCGAACCATTTAATTCTACAATATGGAGATACATTTTTTAGAACTAACAGTTCTTTGAGAGTTAAAAATGCAGTTCTATCGTTACACACCTGGAAAAAAAAATTATTTTTAATTCTAGTTTCTACTGAAGTGTAATCTGGCTGTTATTGGTTAATAAATTTTTTTTGAATTATTCGCTGTCAATGAAAATAAAAACTATTACAATTTTTTACATTACCTCATTAATAGCTTGAATGTCAGTTTCAGGCAATTCATTATTTTGTTTCAAAAACATTTTTAATTTAAAAAATTTGTTATTAGTTGCTGATTCATTCTGTAAATTAAATTCAAAATATTTGATCCACCATTTTGAGTTTTTTTAAAACTGTTTTTAAATTCGTAATCATCAAATTCAAGAAACTCTGCGAGTGACCAAATTTAAAGAGAATACAATCAATTTAAAATTAATTGATATATATGTATTAATATTATTGCAAGTATATCAGACAAATGTTTTTTCTATCCTAATTTGAAAAAATAAAACTTACTTTTATTAAATGATGTTCATATTTGTTTTTTAAAACCACCAATTTATATGTACCATCATTTATGAAGTTTTCTAATGACATAAATGATGGGACATACGATGGTCTTGCTATGTAATTAATTAAATATCCTGAATAGACGAACGAAATTATTAATGCTGATGTAAAAATTGTAAACCAAGTTAATCTTAATGGAGTCTCCTTTGGAAATTCTAAAAATGACCATAATTAAATAAAATTTAATGAGAAAATTTTAATACTGTGTATTATCACCATAGCGATATTTTAAATGTATTTTTTAAAATAAATTCACACCTGACGTCCCTTGAAGACAAAACATTCTCCAAACATTAAATAAATTATCCGGATATTGATTCTTCCAATTATAAATTTCATTACGATTTATGTATATATTCATTATTGTTAATATCACAGGTACCGTGAGAATAAAGACAAAAATTACGATCCAAATATCATAATGAAACGTCTAAAAAATAAACACGTGTTTTAACAATAATTGAATACAGCTATATATGTATGACGCTGCACGAGAAAAGGGACCTTAGTCTTTATTAAATTCAAAATATTCAATAGAAACTGATTTTGATTTTACATAACTAAAAATGAACATTTAATCAAGCTAAAACTATCACTAAACATAATCTACAATTTTTTGCCTTCAAGATCCCTTTTCTTATAGAGCATTAATTTCATGTATATTCAATTTTTGATGCCAAAGTCTAAGTGAAATTTAGTTTTGGAAAAATTTAATTAACATATTTAAGCATATTTTTAAAATTAGTATATATTTATAATGGACTTTTAAATATGCAAAATTTATTTACCTTAAAGTAATTCAAGTATTTTTGTTTAACATTTATATCTTGAATGAAAAGAACTAGACTTGTACTAGTTGGAGTTACAAAGTCTATAGAATTTAATCTACCTACAGTCATTATTATATTTCCAACAATAATATCAGTTTCATTGTTAATTAATTTCTTCACTAAACCACCGTACTCATTCCAATTACCTACTACAGCTCTATTTAAAATAGTTACATTTAATTTTAAGTTTATGATCTTCGAAATAGTCAATAAAGTTCTATAATATCCACCTGGTTTTGTGAAATTTTGACTTATCACTCCTGTCTGTAAAATTGTAATAAGAAAATATTTCTTATTTTATTTAGATTCCTTCACTATTTCTAAAACTTTGTTACAAAATGTAATTTTTAAAACTCATAAGTACATTTTTTAAAACCATAAAAAAATTAGTGAAAGTAACCTAATTCTGCAAACATTTTTTTAAGAAAGGAAAGCCCCTCCACAGCACCGAAACTTTCCTAAAGATTTCCTAAAGATTTATTTGAAATGTTCGGAATATTTAATTGCAATGTTTAGTGAAATTGTATAAACATTTAAATAACCCGATTAAATAAATGTTCAGGAAAGTTTCACATTAAACGCATTTATTTAATCGGGACATTTAAATCTTTATACAATTTCACTAAACATTGCAATGAAATATTCCGAACATTTCAAATAAATCTTTAGGTAAGTTTCGATGCTGTGGGGGCCATCTTTTTCTATAAAGAGTAAATAAAAATTGTGTAGGGTCAGCCTGGGTAAATCCGAACGGGGGGTAAATCCGAACGCTAATTATTTCAGCTTAATTAAAATTTTTAAAAATAAGTTCGATATGAGAATTTTTACCTCAGATACTCTTCAAGAGATTCTAAGTATTATCCCATTTTTCGTTTGTTAATTAGCAACAGCATAAACAAAGATAACGAGTATTGCAAAAAAAAGATTGAAAATCAAAGATGACACTCTTTCAGTATTTTGTCTCGTATTTCAAGAAAAAGAAGCTAAAAATTTATTTTATTATTTATAATTGTTTGTTATGAATACTAGAACAGAAACTATTTTTCATTTTTGCCTTCTGTAAAATTTTATTAATAATATCAGACCGTTCGTATTTACCCAGGAAAATTGGAAAACCGGGGTAAATCCGAACGGTATTTTCAATAATTTTTTTTTACATCAGAGCCACACAAAATTGTTTTTATTTCATTACACTATTATTTTAACATTATAAAAGTACATAGAAAAAAGTTTTTCTTTCTTTACGTATCCTCGTTAGTAATTAATAAGCAGAAACTTAATCTCTGTTCTCTCGAAGGAGTGTTTCAATTTTTTTGCCAAATGGTTTGTTGAAAAAAGTTTTTCAGGATCTTAATAAAATTTGGTATTCTACGGTTTTTGGGGTCGCTAATTACCAATTTGAAGTCAGTTTTTCAAAATTCAAAATGGCGGACGAGAATTAAAAAATTCATTGGATTCGCTCGAAAATTGTTACTCGGGGGGTTTCAGGGTTAGCAAATTTGATCATTTTTAAAAATAAGTTTTAGGAAAGTCCGCCATTTTGAATTTAAAAAAATTTGACTTTTATTTTTGTATTTACATTCAATCACTCCAAAATACTTTCTGTACCAAGTTTTGCAAAAATCCGTTATGATTTGATAAAGTTATTGAAGGTTTTAATTGTGTAATGCATTTTAATTTTTAACCTGTTTGATTTTTGTATTTATATATGATGCATTATTACATAATAGGTTTATTATCGTATTTTTTTTGAGTTTTTATATAAGTTTAACAATTGCAATACTTTAAATTTATTTTCCCTAAGATTTTTCTGAAATACAGTGGCGTTCGTATTTACCCCGGTATTTTAGGAAAGTTGCAAAGTATCGAGGTAAATACGAACGCTAAGTTTCCTGCGATTGTAATTTATCAAAAATTTTTTCTACCCCATAAAATTGTTCTATGGAAGTAAAGTAACAACTTCATGCACCAGAATACCGGAAGTATTTTTTTTTTTAAAGAAGAAACTTATGTTATTGTTGAAACTTACTAAAAGCGTTCGGATTTACCCCGGTTGACCCTAATAAAATTGACTAAATTAAATTAAAAATTGAAACTTTAATTTCGTACATTTAATACGATAACTCGCAAAGAAACACCACCGGCATCATTTCTTCTTGAATAAAGAAATTTATCCTTTATTAACATTTTGAATCCATGTGTATTATTCCAAGTAGCCAAATGAAAAACTTGAGTATCATTCATATATAACGAATACCATTCTCGAAGAATTATATCATTATAACATTTTACCAAAATTTTTGTATTGAATCTCAAATTTAATGGATTGCCTTTGGGATGCAAGCAATAGTCATTTAACAAATTCTTTTCTTGCCATGTTGCAAAAATTATAAGCCATGAATTTTCTGATACACATACATTTTTTGTAAAATTTTCCAATTCTTCAACTGATTCATGAGTCGTTAAAAAAACAACGTACAATTGTTGTTGAAGATATTTTTCATTATAATATGAATTTATTTTCGAAAGTTTCTGAAAATCTGTTGCCTGCGATGTTATGCCAAGAGAAGAAAGCTTTTTTATAATTTTCAACTGTGAATAAATGTCTGCAAAAATATGAGATGAAAATAATGTTTTATTCTTTATAAGATTTGTTAACATCTGAATAAGACACAGGTTTTGGTTTAATTGAATTTTTGATTGATGCTAAGACATTAGTTTATACACTTTAAAAAAAAATAGTATTGAATCAAGAATATTTTAATTGCTTCAAGTAAATCGTGATATTGAATAGGGACGAGTAAATTATGGGATTGGTTCAAGAAAACGATTTTCTTACTATATATATATTTGGGAGGAGAGTTCTTGATCCAAGAAAATATGAAATTCGACCAAGAAATTAATCAACTTGTAAGAAATTCAAAATTATTAATTGAAGAAAATAGTTTTTTGTTTTGAGAATATATTTAATCAAATCAATTATTCTACTTGATTCATTAAAATCTTTCTAATATTGCTTGAAGTAAGTCAAGATTTAAATCAAAATATTTTTTATATTGTAAGGATAACATATATATGTTCAAGATTCAAGAAAATATAATTTAAGCAAGAAATTAATCAACTTATGAAAAATGTAAAATATTTTAATTGAAGAAAATTTTTTTTTCCAACTTTTTATTTGTCCAGACAGATTGAAAAGAATTACGATTTGTTAAAAAGGCGTTAAAAATTTTAAACCATTGAAGACTTCAACTTTTGGATGTAAAATTTTTTTGGGTTTTTAGACTTTCTAGTTTTATGAAATAAAAAGTTTACAAAATTAAAATTCGTTGAAGTAACAAAATTTTAATGCAGAAATTTGGTTAATTTCTGTTAAATAATAATTTGAATAAATAAAAATTGGACAAATAGTAAATTCAAGAAAACGAAATTCTGTTAAATTAATTTTACATCCGTTATTTATTATATTGTTCATTAATTTTTACGAGGCCTTTAAACATGTTGTCCTTAAACAATAAATTTAAAAAAAAAAATTTTAAACACCTGTTTTGAGTTTAAAGGCCTCGTAAAAATTAATCAACAAAACGAAATTCTGTCAAATGAAAATTCTAACAAATTAATTTTAGTGCGTCTCGAATTTTTGAAGAAAATACGAGATGGATGATTATGTTTATTTCTGAGCCGAATTTTTATTTATTCGAATTAATATATTTTGCAGAATTTTCATCAAAACGATTTTCTATAAATTATAGAATTTTTATATAACCGAAAATTTACTTCAGAGAATTTTTTTTTCTCGAATTTTCATTTAATATAATAGGCATTTTAAACAATTTTTAACCGAAAAATCATTTAACAGAATTTCTAATTGATAGAATTTTCATTTGACCAAAATTGCAAATTGCCGAACAAACAATCGACGCAGAAAGATTCCGGCGCGATTTTTAAAAATCAACCAATAAAAAATTATCCATAAAATTGTGATTATGGTTGATTTTAAAAATCGCGCCGAAATCTTTCTGTCGATTGTTTGTTCGGCCATTTGCAATTTCGGACAAATGAAAATTCTATCAATTAGAAATTCTGTTAAATGATTTTTTGGTTAAGTAAAAATTCTGTAGTATATGAATAATTGGTTATATGGAAATTACATCAAATAATAATTCCAACAAATTTAAAATTCATCTGAAAGAAAATACAATCGAATAAAAAAATCCTTTAAAATGCCTATTATATGTTAAATGAAAATTCGATCAAATAAAAATTCTGACAAATAAATATTCGAACAAATAAAAATTCTGTGAAGTGAATTTTCGGTTATATATAAAAATTCTGTAATATAGAAAATCGTTTTTGATGAAAATTCTTGCAAAATACTAATTTGAAGAAATAAAAATTCGGCTCAAAAATAATGATGATGACAAATGAAATTCCATAGAATATGAAAATTCTAACTAATGATTTTTAGAACATAATCATGTGTTCGAAAAATACAAATAACAAAAATTTTGTTTTTACTTACATCTTGTTTGATGGTTTTGAATAATAATAGCAGAGGATGTATTATATAATAAACTAACTTCAGAAATTAAGGAAGAATACTCTTCTTCTTGCGAAATTGTTTCAATTTTTGAAGCATTAGTAAAAACTAATATTCTTAATAAAAGAATAAAATGTAACATTTTGGATAATATTTTTTCAATTACAATATTTAGAAAAAAATATAATTTCTATTGTAGTAGAATATATCGACTATATTCAGTGTATAAAACTAGTACTATAATAATCACTAGAATCTAATTTTATCAAATTTTATTATGTCAGTACTACCATTATATTGTTAATTATTCATATCCATTTAATTAATTTTAACATATGTCACAAATAGTTTTAGTAGAAATTAGTTTTTGAAAATAATTTTTTTTATTTTTAGATAAACATATGCGTCATAATTGATATGCGATGATAATCAAAATTATTAAAAATTAATCAAATCAAGAGTTTTTTATTCAGATAAATTTTCCAATTAAAGATAGTTTTGTAGAAATTAAAAAAAGGTTAAATTTTGTATAGTAAATATATTAATAATTAATAATAATAATAATAACTTAATTCTTAGATTTTTGCTATATTACTTGGGAGACTGTAAATATATGTAATGGGAAATTTTTCTTATTCTTTATGTAAATATAACCAATGGAGACTGAAAGATTTGAGAAACGATAAATATCAGGTAAAAGATCATCTATACTGCTGAAAAGTAGAGGCGCCCAAAAGAGTCTTTTTCACTTTTGCAGATCCATTGACTCCAATATGGTCAACCCCCCGAACAATAGTGAATTTCGCTTAAGCAACAGCAGCAGCACCTTAATTCTCTCCCCCTCCCCTTTTTTTCCCTTACTTTTACCTATTTTCTTTGATTGACAGTGTTGAAACGACTTTTCAAGTCGAAACATCCTTGCCCTTGAGTTTTAAGTTTTGTGTTGTCCTCTGTGTATATTATTTATATTCCCTTTATAATAAATTTATTGAATATGAATTTATCACAACATAGTAAAAAATATATCTCTTATTACTACGATGGTATGTTTTTATTATATACACTCATAAATTATTATAATACATTAAAATATTTGATATATATAAATTTTAAAGAATATATATATTACAAATTTTTGAAAAAATTTATCTTGAGGGAAAATTTTGTAATTCTTCTTTAACGTTTTTTATTTGTATTAGAATTTAAATTATTTTTTTGATTACAATTTATTGAGAATTTTTTGTTTTAAAATATTAATTAATTTTATTGTATAGTTAATGATTTATTAGATTATTTTGACATTTATTATGATTTTGATTTGCATTTGTTTAATATATCTACACCGCCATTTTTATTCATAAATTGATATTTTGAAATTGATCATCTGTATATATATTGTCTAATCAAAATAGAAGTAATCAATGCTGTGCTGGTAAAACAGTTTCCTGTTTTATTTTTGTAGCTTTGAAATTTTTTTTAAATTTCGTAATTTTTAAAATAATTTTTTTTAATCTTTGTAATTTTTTTTTATAACGCAAAAAGAAAAAAAAGAAATAGTATTAAAAATAATGGAAAATTTTTTAATTTCTAGTCCGTTGAATACGTTAGTCGGTAAAGAAGAATTAAGGACTTTTTAGTCCTTTTCAATTCTCGTAGAAAAATAAATGTTTTAAATATTGCTTTTAATTATTTTCGACTGATTCGACTTTTTTTTGAATTTATCAGTACTAAAAAAAATTATTTGAAACAAATCAAATTTTAATGAAATCAACCAAATAAATGAATTGATATAACAAAATGTTTATTTCAGCTAAATTATTCAATTTCCATTGCATCATATACAAATTTTTTTTTTCAGTTTATAAGAAAAAGATTATACAAATAATAATAATTTATAAAAATAAGTTATCAAATTTCTTATTCCATTTCAATTATTTCCATATTTTGATTTATTTAAAGAATATTATTTTCATTTTTTTAATGCACCTTATTATTAATTAATTTATATTTTGAAATATTTAAATTCTCGTACAAATATTCTTCAAAATTATATTTGTTTTATTATAGGTTATGTTAAATGAATATACAAATATTTATAAACGAGATATTATTTTTTTAAAACAATAATTAAAATATCAAAAAAAGTATTTAAAATTATAAATTAATTTGAAAAAAAAATTTAGGTGACGTTGGCAATTTTTATTATGGAGAAAGGCATCCAATGAAGCCTCAACGCATAAAAATGGCACATAATTTAATTTTAAATTACGGACTTTACAGAAAAATGGAAATTTATGTAAGTTCAACTTTTTCTATTTTGTAAATGAACTAAAAATGGTTTTATTTTTTAATTTTGTGAGTTTCCAAAAATTCATAAAAAAAATGATGTTGGAAAATTAATTAAAATATATTTTATAAGATTATTATTTAGTATTTATTTTGTACATAAACACACTGAAAAAAAAATTATTTTCTTCAAATAATCGATTGCTTGACTATATTATCAAATAAATATTTACTTGAGCCAAATAATTTTTATTTGAATTAAATAAATTGTACTTGTACCAATAATTTTTGTATCTGAAACAAATACCATTTCATTGACTCAAAAAATAATTATTAGATATAAATAAATATTTATTCGATAATGATAAAGTAATCGATTATTTGAATCAAATAAATTTTTTTTCAGTTCATAAATTTAGAATAAACTGATAATAATTTCCAAACAATTGAATTTAAAAATATTCATCACGAAATGCCACATTATTGTCAATTGCTGAAATTTTGCACCGGAAAAATATCAAAACATAACCTCAATTATGTATTTACTTTGTTCAAGAATTGTGGTGGACCATAGTTAATTATAACAATTCTTGAACAGAATACATCTATGATTGAGGTTATGTTTTGATATTATTCCGGTGAAAAATTTCAACAAATGGCAATACTGTCAGCAGTGGCGCTTTATACTAACATGTTAAATCTTTAACCGATCGGTAACATAGAAAACTATAACAAAAATTGTATTTTAAAATTTTTTTTAAAATAATGATTTATTTTTAATTTCAATCATTAGAGACCCTTAAAAGCCAATTTTGAGGACATAGAAAAGTTTCACAGTGATGAGTACATCAAATTTTTGAAGTCAGTTGCACCTCATAACGAATCAACATTCAATAAATCTGTTCTTGAAAAATGTAAGAAAAAAATGTTTATATTCTATTTTTTAATAGGGTAAATGAACCAATTATTATTATTATTATTATTATTATTATTATTATTATTACAAATTAAAATCAAGTCTTATTTTTAATAAAAAAAAAAAAAAAAATTTCATTTATGTTTTAAAATCATTTTATCCATTATTTTCAAAATTTTACATGTACATTTAAAAATTATATTTTATCAAATTTATTATAACATTCCAGTAATTGTTACATTTACCCATAATTTTTTTAAGTTTTATTTTTCAAAAAAAAAGAATCGTTATACAATAAAAATTAAATTTTAATAAAATAATTAATTTATATAATAAAATGAAATTATATTTAATTATAGTCAACATTGGAGCTGATTGTCCAGTATTTGAGGGAATTTATGAATTTTCACAAATCTCTGCTGGTGGTTCAATAGCAGCGGCTATTAAATTAAATAAAAAAAAATCCGACATTTGTATTAATTGGGCCGGTGGTTTGCATCACGCTAAAAAAGGCGAGGCTTCTGGATTTTGTTATGTGAACGATATTGTTCTTGCAATTCTTGAATTACTCAAATATCATCAACGTGTTTTATATGTTGACATTGATGTTCATCATGGCGATGGAGTTGAGCAAGCATTCTATTTAACCGACAGAGTTATGACAGTTTCATTTCACAAGTATGGAAATTATTTTCCAGGAACTGGAGCAGTTGATGAAATTGGCATTGGAGAGGTAAATTTATTAGAATTTTTTACACTTTATTTGTCATTAAATTTTGTAATTAGTAATCCAAAAATCTTTAAAGTAACAAAATTCAAGGAAATTTGATAAAAAAAAAAATATTTTAATTTCCCGCCATATTGGATCCGTCATTTTGAATTTTGAATATATGACATCGGATTCATAATCAGCGACCCCGGAAACCCCACCGAGTGACAAGTTTTATAATCGAATTCGATCAATTTTTAAACATTTCCCGCCTTATATTGGATCCGCCATTTTGAATTTTGAAAATCTGACATCAGATTCGTAATCAGCGACCCCAATAACTTCTGAGTAGTGATTTTCAAGTTAAGGCCAGGTCCAAGTGAGGCAGCGCCATCTACATTGATACTAAAATTTTGGAAAATTTTCAACAGCCTTTTCTTGAAAACAAGAAGGTAAAATGCTTTTTCCTTTATGGATAATTGATTATTGGCAAGATATACACCAGCTAAAACTTTTTTTGAGTTAAAATAATAAAAACAATTTCATGTCAATAAATTAAATATGAGCACTTTTTTCACAAAAACTGTAACAGTACTTTCTCAGAAATTACAATCAAAAATGCAATTTCCATTTGGAAAATTAATAAACGCTAAAAAATACACGACCTAAGATTTACCAATCACGAAAATAAGAAAAAAAAATTTTATTAAATATTTAACATATTGATACTGCTTTACTGATTGTGACAGCCCTTTGGTAGATTATGTATTTCAGGTGGTTAGCAACAGCGCCAATCTCCTCCTTTCGGCAAAACTGCGAAACGTCTGGTGACATATATAACCTGCCAAACGGCTGCCATAATGAGTAAAATATGTTATGTTAAAATACTTTTTTTTTTGTTATTTTCATGATTGGTAAATCTTAGGTCGTGTATTTTTTAGCGTTTATTAATTTTCCAAATGAAAATTGCATTTTTGATTATAATTTCTGAGAAAGTACTGTTACAGTTTTTGTGAAAAAAGTGCGCTCATATTTAATTTATTGACATGAAATTTTTTTTTATTATTTTAACTCAAAAAAAGTTTTAGCTGGTGTATATCTTGCCAATAATCAATTATCTATAATGGAAGAAGCATTTTATCTTCCTATATTACAAAAAGATATCGCCGCCACCGCCGCCACTGTTTCAAGAATTCTTGACCTAGGAGGGGGGAGTCCCCCCTCCTCAATTTTAAGGTTATGTTCGTTTCAAGGCTCTGAATATAGCCGCAAGTCCCCTCCCCTCCCCCGCCAGAAATGACCTAAATTTTGAGGTTATGTTCGTTTCAAGGCTCTGAATATAGCCGCAAGTCCCCCTCCCTCCTCTCATTTCCCCTCCTCCGTCAAAAAAGACCTAAATTTTGAGGTTATGTTCGTTTGAAGACTCTGAATATAGCCGCAAGTCCCCTCCCCTCCCCCGCCAGAAATGACCTAAATGTTGAGGTTATGTTCGTTGAAAATTTTCCAAAATTTTAGTTTCAATGTAGATGGCGCTGCCTCACTTGGACCTGGCCTTCATTCGATGAAATATAAAATAAAGTCCGCCATTTTGAATTTTGGAAAATAGACATTAAATTCTCTTGCGACGAAATTTGTTTTTATTTTTTTAATGAAACAAATCGTAGATTTCTAACATATTATTAATTTTAAATATGATCTTTTTAAAACAAACACAATCACTTGAAAATACGATAAAAATTCTAAATAAGCCAGATTTAAAAAATTCAAAATGACGGATCTAGTATGATGGAAATTTTTTTAAAAAATTGATTGAATTCGCTTGAAAATCATAACTTAATTTTAAAAAATCATTTCTATTGACAAAATAGAAAAATGGAAATTAATTCCAGGGGGGGATAATCAGATTTTTAATATAAGTAGGAATAAAATTTATGTTAAATGAAAAGATAAATTATATAGATATTAATAAAATATAATTTAATTTTAAAAAGGGTCTAATAAAAGAGTTGAAAACTTAAAAATGTAAAAAAATAGAACTTTTTTTTAAAAATTTACAAGAATTATATTAATAGAATTAGAATAAATCCTTATTTATAAGGGGGGATAGGGGGGTAAGGGGGGTTGAGTTTCTTATTTATTTGTTAAATAAATTAATTTAATTTTATAATTTTTTATTATACGAATTATATGATTATTCTTATTATGTTGGATAATGAAAACTTTGTTTTCCATATGAATATAAAAATTTTAATTTATATAGGCAAAAGAAATGGCAATAGAAAAATTCAAAATGTCGGATCTAATATGACGAAAATTTTTTATTAAATTTCACAGAATTCAATATTGAAACTCATATCATAAAATACTAACTGAATTTTGTCGTTTATTTATTTTTTTAAGGGAAAATATTATTCTGTCAATGTACCTCTTCAAGCGGGCATTACGGATACAAGTTATCAGAAAATTTTTGTACCAATTATGGATGCTGTAATGTCATCTTTTCAACCAACGGCAATTGTATTGCAATGTGGCGCTGATTCTCTATCGGGTAATTTTTTTTCTTCATAATAAAATTATAATAAATATTATTAATGAATATATTAATAGAAAATTAATATTTTAAAAATTTTATTCAATATAAAGTTATTAATTTTAATATTAAAGTTATGGCAAATAAAAATTGGATATTTTATTTTTCAATGGAACGGTTTTTTTTTTTTTTTGAAATTGTATTTAGGAGACCGATTGGGCAGTTTTAATTTAACAACAAAGGGTCATGGAAAATGTGTGGAATATATGATGAAATATAATATACCTCTAATGCTAGTTGGTGGTGGTGGTTATACAATTCGAAATGTATCGAGATGCTGGGCATATGAAACTTCAGTTGCATTAAATAGCGAAATATCTGAGGATCTCCCTTATAATGATTATTTCGAGTATTTTGCACCCGATTATAAACTTCACGTTAAGGCAGCAAAAGGCGTTAGCAATCAAAATAACGAGGAATATCTGGAAAGCATCAAGTAAGACTCATATTTTTCTAATTTTTTTTTTTTTTTTTTTTTTTTTAATTATAATTTTTATCTTCTTTCTATTTAGTTGAACAATATTAACTAATTAAATTATTATTAATCCAGTGAATAAAATAAAATTTTTGTGGCAATGTAAGGTCAAATTAGGTTCAGTATAAGGTCAAAGTAGGTTCAAAATAGGTTTAATATAAGGTCGAAACATCTTCAAGATAGGTTTCAAGTTGGTTTAATGTAGAGAAAAAAAAGGTTCAAGGTCATTAATTTTCTAAATTAAAAAAAATACAAAAATAAATTAAATTTTTTTTTAAAAAAAACAGGGTGAAAGTTTTAGAACATTTGAGAATTTTGGCTCATGGGCCAAGTGTTCAAATGCAAGATATTCCAGAAGATTCAATTCCGGAAATACTTCTTGAACCGGAAGAAAAAGTCAATTCAGAAAAAAGGTTACTGCAATCGGACGTGGATAAGAGAATTGAACGTGATAATGAGTACAGTGATAGTGAAGATGAAGGCGAAGGTGGTCGAAGAGATAATCGATCTTATGAGGTACAGTATTAATTTTGGTTTTTCATTAAAAAAAAATTTTTAATTTCAAAAAAAAATTTCGAATGGTTTTGAAAATAACAAAATAAAAATTTTTATTCTAGCGTCCAAGTAAAACACCAAAAATGGAATTGAGTAGTGAAATAAATTGCAACATTGAAGAAATGGACATAAAAGACGATACTAATGAGAGTAAAAATGACAATGGAAATAATATTCCAAGTTAAATATATAATATAGGGACAATTTTGCAATGAAATTATACATTTAATTCACTTTATTATGACTTAGTTGTAAAGAGAAAAAAAAAACTACAATTGTGATATAATCATAGGACGTACATGTAGTTTGGTTGATTATTTTTAAATAAATTTTTAATTAAAAAATTATTATATACTATTTTATTTTGTACCTAGTTTTATTAGATTATTATTAATATTTACTCTACAGTCAAACTGTGAATTTAATTATTTAATGTTTAGTAATAGTAAGAAATTTTGTTTCAAAAAATTTTATAATTTTTACGCATTTCCATTTTTAAAAACACCATTTTATTGAACACAAATATTTTAACTTTGTAATCTATGTTTTTAATCTTGATGGATACACCAATACAAAAAATTAATTTCTATGACATCGATTTTTATGCAAATGAAACTATATATATATATATTTTATTGTAATGAATTAATTGCAATTGAATAATTAAAAACTAATCCTATTAGAATTAAATAATCATAGACGAAAATCTATTTAGTATTTTATTATATATATAAAATATAAAATATTGTTTGTATTACAAAAACGTTTTAATAAATGGTGACTATACATATGAAATAGATGTTAAAAGTCTATGAATTAAAAATTTAAATTATTTCTAAAGAAAAATGTTATCATATTTTTCTTATTTATTAGTAATATGTGTTGTATCAGAAAATACTTTAAACGTAGAGGCATTTTCTGAAAAAAAAAATTATTCATCATTAATTTCCCATGTTCGTTTATTATATGATGCATCTTCTGTAATTATAATTAAAGATCATTCAAAAGAAGGTAAGTAAATTTAGGAAAAAATAATAAACTAAAATTTAATTCAAATAAAAAATTATTAGGTTCAAGTAAATGATAATATTCAAGAGATTTTATTTGAATAAAAAAAAAATTTTTATGATACAAATAAAATTTTAAAAAAATTTACCATATTTATATGAGTCCATTGCAGACATTTCTTCACTGTTGAAAATTATAAGGGAACTTTCGTCTCTTGGCATATCATCGCAGGTAACAGATTTTCAGAAACTTTCAATAATGAATTCTTATCACAGACAATATATCCGACAACAATTGTACGTTGTTTTTTTAACAACTAATGAATCAGTCAAAGAATTGGAAAATTTTACAAAAAATGTATATGTATCAGAAAATTCATGGCTTATAATTTTTGCAACATGGCAAGAAAAGAATCTATTAAATGACTATTGTATGCATCCCAAGGGCAATCCATTAAATTTGAGATTCAATACAAAAATGTTGATAAAATGTTATAATGATACAATTCTTCGAGAATGGCATTCGTTATATATGAATGATACTCAAGTTTTTAATTTGGCTACTTGGAATAATACACATGGATTTAGAATGTTGATAAAGAATAAATTTCTTTATTTAAGAAGAAATGATGTTGGTGGTGTTTCTTTGCGACTTAGCTCACTGAATGTATGTACGAAATTATAGTTTTGACCTTTAATTAAATATTTTTTCTCTATTTAAAAAAAAAAAATGTTATTGCTCTTTAGATAAGAAACTTATTCAATTATAAAACAGAAGAACTAGAGGGTAACATGTATATTCTTTCTAATTTTTCCTATGGAAATTTATAACAGGAAATTCCTAATAGTAATTAAAAATTTCCTAATTTCCAATTATATAATTTATATAAAATATTAGCCCAAAATCAAATATCTTGATAATTTAGAAACATAATCCAAAATATAGGTATATCCAGATCAACTTCTTCTGTTTTGATATGACACAAATTTGTCACATCTCTGTCTTTATTAATTGTTGGATTTATGTTTAATATTGAATACAACACTTTTTAAATCATTAAATGAAAATGCCATCAAAACTTGAAAAAGCTTTTTTTGTTTCAACGAGAAGACACGCAGGAAACGATACTTAACTATTTCAAGGTGCTTCAACCAATAAATTTCAATTTGTCGTTCTTCATACATATTGCCTGCATCTTTTCGTTCAAACAAAAAAAAATTTTTTTTTTTTTTATCTTTAAATGTAATATAGTTTTTAATTTAATAATTTAAATAGTATATGGCATTGGTGCAAATTCATTTATCCTCATATAACCTGAAATAATATTTTATACAGAGTTCGTTGAACATTGACAATTTTCAATCAAATATTAAACAGATTTCGAAGATTATAAATTTTAAATTAAACATAACTAACGTAGCAATAGATACCGTTAATTGGAAAGAGTTTAATAATTTAGTAATCAAATTGATTCAAAATGAAGTTGATATTGGTGAAAATTTGATGATGACGGCTAATAGAACAAAATATGTAGATTTTACGTCAACTATAAATAAATATAATCCAATCCTATGCATTCAAGAACCAAAATTAGAAGAAAAAGATTTAAAATACTTTAAGGTATAACAAACTCAACCCACAAGTCTTTACATTGTATTAAAAAATTTTATTCTAATTTTAATAGAAAATAATTTATATTTATTTTAAATTATATTATTCGAACTCTTGTTTTTTATGTAATTTATTTTAGACATTTCATTATGATATTTGGATCGTAATTTCTGTCTTTATTCTCACGGTGCCGGTGCTATTAACAATAAATATATACATAAATTGTAATGATATTGACAAAAATAATTGGAAGAATCATTTTCAAGATAATTTATTTAATGTTTGGAGTGCATTTTGTCTTCAAGGAATGAAAGGTGTGAATTTATTTAAAAACATATAATTATATTTTAAAACTATATATGGAAACGCTGCGTATAAGTAAATAATAATATTTAACATACTAATATTTCAGACTTTCCAAATGAGACTCCATTAAGATTGATATGGTTTACAATGTTTGCATCAGCATTATTTATTTCGTCAATTTACTCAGGAGCACTAATTAATTATTTAACTTTAAAAACACCTCCTGTTAAATTTACAACTTTAGATAGTTTCATCGATGATGGCACATATAAATTGGTGATTTTAAAAAACAGATATATACATCAATTAATAAATGTAAGTTTTATTTCTCAAAATAGAGTAAAAGAATACTCGACTTTAATTTTTCTGAAATTCTGATTGACAATTTTGTAAAAGCAATTCCTTAAGCATTAGGTATATAATTAAACATATGAAATTTGTTTTTAACTTTCTAATTCTGGAAAAAGAACATTAAGGCCAGGTCCAAGTGAGGCAGCGCCATCTACATTGAAAGTAAAATTTTGGAAAATTTTCAACAGCCTTTTCTTGAAAACAAGAAGGTAAAATGCTTTTTCCTTTATAGATAATTGATTATTGGCAAGATATACACCAGCTAAAACTTTTTTTGAGTTTAAAATAATAAAAAAAATTTCATGTCAATAAATTAAATATAAGCACTTTTTTCACAAAAACTGTAACAGCACTTTCTCAGAAATTACAATCAAAAATGCAATTTCCATTTGGAAAATTAATAAACGCTAAAAAATACACGACCTAAGATTTACCAATCACGAAAATAACAAAAAAAAATTTTATTAAATATTTAACATATTGATACTGCTTTACTGATTGTGACAGCCCTTTGGTAGATTATGTATTTCAGGTGGTTATCAACAGCGCCAATCTCCTCCTTTCGGCAAAACTGCGAAACGTCTGGTGACATATATAACCTGCCAAACGGCTGTCATAATGAGTAAAATATGTTATGTTAAAATACTTTTTTTTTTGTTATTTTCGTGATTGGTAAATCTTAGGTCGTGTATTTTTTAGCGTTTATTAATTTTCCAAATGGAAATTGCATTTTTGATTGTAATTTCTGAGAAAGTACTGTTACAGTTTTTGTGAAAAAAGTGTTCATATTTAATTTATTGACATGAAATTTTTTTTATTATTTTAACTCAAAAAAAGTTTTAGCTGGTGTATATCTTGCCAATAATCAATTATCCATAAAGAAAAAAGCATTTTACCTTCTTGTTTTCAAGAAAAGGCTGTTGAAAATTTTCCAAAATTTTAGTTTCAATGTAGATGGCGCTGCCTCACTTGGACCTTGTCTTAAAATTAAGTTTTATTTTCAGATTGGAGCAGCAGATAATTCTACTGATTTTTTTAAATTAAGAAAATTTTTGAAACCTGACAATGAATTGCCCGCAACTAATTACCAAGCTTTTGAAGAGGTACACGATAAAGAAAATGAATAATTCTAATTTAATTATTTAAATAGACTAAAAATAATAATTGTTAAATAATTTAAAAATGAAAAATATAATTTATTTTTAAAACAAATTTTTTTTCAGATGTGCAACAGTAGAACTGCGTTTCTAACCAATAAGGAAACTGTTTTACCAAAAAATATATCTCAGTATTGTAAAATTAAAATATTTGATCTGAAAGATAAACCTAAATTTATTACAAATGCATTCACTAAGAATAATCCTTATTTCGATATTATCAATTATCAGTAAGTATATGATTAATTTATATTTTTTATAAATTTTCCATTAAATCTAATACATATAACTTAAGTAACTCAAAAATCAAAAAAATATTTTAATAGACAATTTCCCTGCAAATTTTCATACTAAAAATACTTGTATATGGGTGATTCCACGTCAGATTTTAGTTCAAATTTTAAATTCGTCCAAAACTATTTTTTTTTCATTCTTCATAGTAAAAAAACGTATACGTATTTTTTTTTTTTTTTTTGGTGCCCAAATTTTTGAGTTATGAATTTTCAAAATTTTGGTTTTTGAAAAGTAGACCTATTTTCAACGACCTACAACTTGAAAACTATTGAATTTAGAAAAATTTCATTAAGAGAAAAAAGTTTCGATTTTTTGTCGACTTTTTAATAATGTCAAAAAAAAAATTATTTTTGAATTTTTATTAAAAAAATAATAATTTTTTATAAACAAATTCATTTTTTTTCAATTTGGACATTTTTTTTTTTTAATTTTTTTTTTTCATTAGATACCTGAAAATAATAAAAAACGTTTGCACAAAGTTTTGGAGTGGGCCTGATGAGTTTAATGGGTGAAAATGAATTTTTAAACTGTGCGTGCAAGTTGAGCGCGCGACGTACAATCCGAATTTTGCTAGTTTAAGTAGGAGTGTAATAGATATGTTATAAAATAAAAAAAAAAAATTAAAAACTAACTTTAAAAAAACACTCCTACTTAAACTAGCAAAATTCGGATTGTACGTCGCGCGCTCAACTTGCACGCAGAGTTTAAAAATTCATTTTCACCCATTAAACTCATCAGGCCCACTCCAAAACTTTGTGCAAACGTTTTTTATTATTTTCAGGTATCTAATGAAAAAAAAAAATTAAAAAAAAAAATGTCCAAATTGAAAAAAAATGAATTTGTTTATAAAAAATTATTATTTTTTTAATAAAAATTCAAAAATAATTTTTTTTTTTGACATTATTAAAAAGTCGACAAAAAATCGAAACTTTTTTCTCTTAATGAAATTTTTCTAAATTCAATAGTTTTGGACGAATTTAAAATTTGAACTAAAATCTGACGTGGAATCACCCATATGTATTATTTTTGTTATTTTTGAGTAATATAATATTTTAAAATCTTATTTATTTTTCTAGCATTATTCGATTATCAACTTCAGGATATCTGCAAAATTTAAATAAAGATTTTAAAAATAAGAAAAATCTTCAAAAAGAAACTTATTGTCAAATTAATAATTCAGAAATTATATTAAATTATATAACTCTTCTAATTGGAATTATAGTTAGCATTTTTCTATTTTTAGCTGAGGTGACGTTTAATATTTATTATAAAATAGATAAACAAACATACTGTAAAAAATTAACTATCAAAAAAAAGTCTAAGCCCAATAATAAGCGAAGATTAAAATGGAATTTAAAAATTTAATTTCATTAAATACATAATTTTTTTTCTGTTTTGTAAGTGATTTTAAAAATATTGTTTTTCATTTTGAATTTTTGATGTTAGAGACGTAATTTTCGGTGTCAACGATTACGAATCTGGCATCAGTTTTTCCAAATTCACAATGGCGGATCCAATATGGCGGAAGTTCTTTTAAATTCTTCAGATTTGCCCAAAATTTGTACCTGGAGGTCTTTCGGGCTTCTTATATAACAAAATCTGATAATAAATTTGTAACTACTCTCCAAAAACCTCCGAGCAACGAGTTTGAAACGATTCTAATTAACTTGAAAAATTCCGTCATATTGGATCCGCCATTTTGAATTTTATAAAACAGATGCCTATCGTATCGATATTAATTATGTTGTAATTATTAAATTATTAATGTATTAAGTGTAACAGTGCTTATTTGTCAATTTAATAGTATGCAATGTTTCATTAATCCTAAATGGAAATGGTAAATTTATTATAAAATAGATAATATAATTTATTTTTCAAAAAAGAATAAAATTTTTTGTTGTCAAAACAAAAAATTTTTTCCTTTTTTTGTAAAACAAAATTTTTTTATCAAATTATTATTTCAAATTTAATACAGATTTTGGAGTATGTATTTTAATTTTTTATTGTTTTTATTATCCAATCATACATATCAGCCGTGTTGATAAATATTGCATAAGTAATATTGTTACTCAAATTAGTAAACGTCACAGAATTTGGATCAAAACCAACTAATTTATTGTTAAACATAACAGATGTACCTGGAAGAAAATGTGAATAATTTTCATTTACATAATAATTATATTCAGTTGTACAGAAGCAATCATTTATAATTTCTGGAAATTTATCATAACATGAGTTGGTTATTGAAATAAAAGCACTTCCCAAATTTTCCGTTTCAATCTGAAAAATTGAAAAAATTTATTTACAATCAAAAAGAAAATTTTTTAGTTGCCAAAAAACTTCAAAAAAAAAAAAAAATGATAACCTTTTTGTTTAATTTGAATCCAGTTAATTCAAGGCAATTTTTGTCTCCTGGCTTGTCTGTTGGTTTTGCTAATAGAACTGGCCTTTGTGACTCGTCAAAATCAATAGGTTTTTTCAACTGAAATTATTTTTTTTTTTTTACTAATAATTAAATAGAAAAAAAAAATTATTGAAAGGTAATTAAATTTTTATAAATTTGCAAAACAAAATCAGTGTTTAATTTTATTTCATTGATAAAATTTTTTTAATTAAAAATTTAAATTAATAAATTATTAAAATTTAATTACTTAAAACTTACTTTTATTAAAGCTATATTTTCAGAAAAAACACTGATGCTATTATTTCCTAGAAGAACTTTTTCAATTTCATGAGTTACTATATCAGTATCGGGAGGGATAGCGTCCACTTTAGTGGCAACAAAAATATCCCTAGGACAATAGTAATCAAGTTCCTCGTCATAATTTCTATAAAAAAAAAAAAAAAAAAAAAATCAATTGTTTTAGTGAAAGTAGAAAAAACTTTTTATCACTTTGATTAATTAAAAATTGCCATTGGATATAGATTAAAAAATTTCTTATAGATGAAAAAATCGATTTGAGTAACATTTTTATTGTTTTTTAATTTGAAATATTTTTAATCCTCATACAGTGACAATTTTCAATAATTTAAATACAATATTTCTTTTTGAAATTTCATACTCATCTATATTAAAGCATTCGGCTGAAGAGAGAATCCAATAATTAGACAAAATAGTAGCACCACAATATTTATCTTGAATATTACAATTTTTAAATCTACGTACTGTAACAACAGCCTGTATAGAAGAAAATGTATACTACTTTTTAAAAATTTTAATTTCAGACAATTATTAATTACTCAATTTTTTTTTCGTTTTTAATTTAAAGTAAAATTAAAAATAATTAAATAATATTTAATCAAATTAAGGTTTTAATTTTTTTTCTAATATTTTTCTTTCCTACCACAAATGGTGTTTCTTCTATAGTCACGTATTGATAAGGCGCTTCTCTTTTTTTATTATCACAAGAGATGTTTTCTATATAAAATATATGAAAATAACAATATTGAAAAAAATTATTATTATGCAATAATTAAGAATTTAAATAATTAAAATAATAATAATAATAATAATAATAATAAACAAAAAAAGAAATAATGAATGTTGATATAAATTAAAAACAATAAAAAATATATAAGAAAAAAAAAAGAAGAAAATTATTTATAATATTTTGAACACTAAATAAACTAACCTGATGGAAATGCCATGGATTCATCAAATATGAAAAAAAGGAGAAAAAAATAAATCAACTTCATGGCACTATTTTAAAAAGACGCACTAATTATGATAATGATATATTGGTAAGTTTTTATATATATTATATATCAAACAAAGCAGGAAATTATTCTTCATATTTATCACATATATTATTCTTCCGGAATGTATTTTAGATTATTCTCATCCAATTATAAAATATTTTTAATATTTCCTTTTTTATGTTTTATTTACAATTATTTTATATATGATTAAAAAATTTGCAACTTAAAAAAAATTTGCCTCCCAAATTTTTTTATTTTTAAAAAAATTATTTTCATGTATAATTTATAATTGCATTTTTTACAATTTTATTTACCGAACTTTCATTTTTGTCCGAAATTAAATATTCCTCAGAAATATAATAACTACAAAATTATTTTTTATTTCTAAATATTGTTTTTATAAGAGGTAATTAATTTATTTATTTATTTATTTATTTAGAACATAACGGGACATGCCCTTTCGTACAAAAGTACTCCTAAATTCTAATAGTTACGTAAGTAACAATACAAAATATAAAATATTAACTAAATCTAGGTAGGCGCTATAATGGCTAAAGTTCATTATAAGTTTATACAGTAAAGAATAACATAAATCAAATTACATTATTATCAAAAGAGAAGATTAATTTTCGATAAATAGAATCTGCTTTACCATTATATCAATTAATTTCAAAAATAATTGTTATTGTTCAATAATACTGATTTTATCTAAATCACAATGTCTACATTTAGTTCTGTATGTATTTCCTTAAATCACTTTCATAGATAGAAATAAAATAAGTTTATCTCAAGGAAGGAAACACAACCTTGGGCACTAAGTGGGGAAATCACTATAGATTCTCCTTACACGCATCTATTTGGACTGTAAGAGTGGATGTGCGATTTCTAGGGGGGATTTTAATTATGGTAGGGATTCCACGCCGGTAGACCATTGACACATTCATTTCTCCGTCTAATCGACGGGTCTCTAGTTCCTCTCTCACTCTCTTAATCTCCTCCCTCTGCATAACCGTCCTGTCATTCGACATCCAAAGATCTTCCAACTCCCTTGAACGTGTTGAGTCTCTTTTGACACTTACAAATTTTTTTAGAATTACTTGTGCCTTCTCTTCCGTCTCACATACAATCTTAACAGGGCGAGGCTTACGAGAAACCTGCGCATTAGAACCAATTCTAAATGTGCGTATATTTTCAAGATCATCTGTTTGAATGAATTTTTTTAATTTATTCGTAACCACAGATTTCAAAGAACAACTATTATTTGACGAAGTGTCAAATTCTGGAAGATTAAGTAAAACAAGATTGTTCTTTCTTTCATTTCGATCAACAAGTTCATTTATACAGACATTAGTTACTGAATTAGAATCAATATTTGTAGAACCATTTGCCTCAGATTTATCAAGCCTCTCTTCGACAACATTAAGACGCTCTGTCAAATTAACAACTCTGCTTTCCATATTACTCAGCCTACACAGTGTGTCATCGAGTTTTTTGTTGATATCTGACATGTTTTCAGTCATATTGGCAAAATTATCAGAAACTGTTGTTGATAAAACCTTAATAGCTCTCAAAATACTATCCAAGTTAACAGAGGTTTGTGAAGATTGAGAATTATTTGAAGGAGACAATGACCTAGGTTTACAACATTTGGTGAACGACCCATCAGGCAAAGTAGACAGCTGTAACGCACAGCTGGGATGATAAGGAAGATTACACTTCCTACACAAAGTAGGAATAGCACGTGTAATATCTTTACCACATTTTGCACAATTTTCAACACTAGAGGCCATTTTTGCACACAAATAACCATTCAAATAAAAATAAAAAGTAAATTGAGCGAAAGCAGTTCCAGTTGAAGTTACATAAACAAAAAACTTCACACAAGTATATCAGTCCAATGTTAGGTTAGAAAAAATTCAAATCAGAGAGCCAAGTTAAGGCAAATGGTGCAGATAATAAAAAACTTTCACTAAAAACCAGCACAAAATAATGTTTATAACTATAAGGTTGTAAAAGAACAGACCAAACTTAAACCGTTTTATTTAAACAAAATCAACCGAGACACATGTGAACACGTGTTTAGTAGCTGCCACCTAGCGGCAATAGATAATAGTAAATTATTTAAATAAATATTTGATAATTAATTTTATTTTCAAAGAATTATTACACAGATAATATAGATACATAATTCTTTTTTATATATATATATATTTAAAAAATATAAAAAGAGATCTTTTTTTTAAATAAATGAATTAATAAATTTAATTTAACTTGTAAATTATTGTATATATTTGCAGTTTCCAGCAAATAATACAACACCATCATCTTCACCAATTGTTCTAATAATTTTATAATGAAACGGTCGATTAACATCAAATGTTGGTGTCAGCATGTGTGGGATGATCATGTCAACCACTGCAATAAATATCACAAATACAATTATTTTTTAGTTACTTTTTATATATAGAACGCACTGAAAAAAGGGTATGGTATTGACAACCAAACGTTTGGTTGGTATTTAAGCAACCAAAATTTTTTTTGTTGAATCAACAAAATTTTGGTTGTCCCATAATCAAACTTTAGTTAGGTCAACAAAAATCCTTTTTTTCTAATTTTGGTTGTGTCAAATAAATTTTGATTGAGAGAATTAAAATTTTGTTGATTTAACAAAAAAAAAATTTGGTTGCTTAAATACCAACCAAACGTATTGGTTGTCAATACCAAACCCTTTATTCTAATAATATATATAAAAAATATTTATACTTGTATCTGCAGCAGCTTCGGCACCATTTTCATTGACTTCAATAAAGATTTTCTGCATAATTTTACTCACATTCATTTCGCTATCTGAAATAGTTTTAAAGTTTGCCGAATCCGTGAACATTGTTCTCATTCCCATCTATTGTAAGAAAGTAAATTTATTAATTAATGTTTACCATTTCAATAACTATTCGATTTTCGAAATAAAAATTCATTTTTAGTAAAAAAAAAATAAAAACAATTAAAAAATCATGCGTTTTAAAAAACATATTAATTGTTACATTAAAAGAATAATATATAACTAACCTCTTGTAAAATTACATTCATGTCAATGGTACTTTCAACACGGAATTTCGGTAAATACAAAGTGACACTGACATTTCTACGATTCTGTCTTAAAGTTTTAAGGTCCATTGTTTCTAATCTTTTTTCAACTTGTTTAAGACCGTTAATATTATTAGGAAGTATGATAATCATTTTAAGTTCACCACCCTGCGTAGATGAAGAAAAAACCAATATTCATATAAAGAATAGAAAATATTATTTCAAAAATTAAAAATAATAATTTCACAGAATTCTCATTCAACATCAGAATTTTCATTAGGCGCATGAATTTTCTCCAAATTTCAAATAGCCTAACACTTAATTGACCTACATTCGATTGACCTAAAAGTTGAAAGGACTAATTATTATACTTAGCCTAATCTGTTTATGACCTAATCTTAATGTAACCTAATTCTTATTTGACATAATATTTATCTGACATAATTCTCACTTCGTCTCTAAATTTTCCGTAACCTAATAATTTTTTGGCCTCATTTTTATCCGACCTAATTGTTACTTGGCCTAAACATTATTTGCCATAATTTTCATTTGAAATCATTTTCATCTGGCCTAATTATCATGTAGACCTAATTCTCATTTGGCCTAATTTTACTATTTCCTAATTGTTACTCCAAGTGAGAATTAGATCAAATGAGAATTAGGTAAAATGAGATTTAGGTTATATTAAGATTATGCCAATTGAAAATTAGGTTAGATTAATATTAGAACGAGTAACAATTAAGAAATCGTAAAATTAGGCCAAATGAGAATTAGGTCAGATAAAAATGAGGCCAAAAAATTATTAGGTTACAGAAAATTTAGGCCAAGTAAGAATTAGGGCAGATAAATATTCTGTCAAATAAGAATTAGGTTACATTAAGATTAGGCCAAATGAAAATTAGAACAAATGACGATTAGTATACAAATGAGGATTAGATTGAATATAGTTTAGGCTAATCGAATTTAGATCAATTAAGTGTTATAGGCCATTTCAAATTTGGAGAAAATTCATGCGCCTCGATTCGAATTTTTAAAAGCCGTCAAGTTTCCAATTCGCACTGAATCTTTATTTGTCCAGAATTTTATTTCCCACGAATTGTTATTTCATAAAATTCTTAAAAATTTTTCCTCAGGACGATAAAAATTTAACTGATTCCTATAGTGAATTTCTCACTGATTTTAAATCAGTGATCCACTTTTCACTGATTCAGATTAAGAGAGTGAAAGAAATAAAAAAAAAGATTAAAGAAGATAGAAAAAGTTTAAAGAAGATAAACAATTATGATTGTTATAATTTGTTTGCTATAAAGAAAATAACTATACCTATAAGAAGATAGAAAGAGAACATGCAGATCTTTTACCTTGTATGGCAATTCAATGGATTGAGCATGTATGTCAGGAAGATTTTTAATTTCAAATTCACTATTTTTAATCATCATTTCTACTGAAGTTTTTTCATTTCCACTATAAAAATATCTATCTATAAATTCGTCGAATTTAAAATTCCATTCGCCTTTAAAGTAAATGACGTTTGTGAGGATCATGAGTGTCCTATTATTTAGTTCGTCTGAAAGAATTAAATGTATATATATATATTAAGTGCGAGAAATTTTTGTTTAAAAAAATATTTCTTTAAAAAGTAAAAATTCAGCACAAGAATGTTTATCAACAATTAATATTATTATTAAATTATATATATATATATATAAATCAGTGATCAAAATTTTGAAAAATAATACAAACTGGCTTCAAAAATATTTTTGATTTTTTCATTTGTTTCTCTCGATACCCATGTATTAATATAGTTTGCTGCTTGTTCAGAATAGAAAAAATCCACTTGTTGTTCCTCTGTGTGAAAATTATGTGATAATACGTCTTTGAATGTTTGTTTTACATCTAGGTTAGTATTAATGAATACTTTGTTCAAAGTTTTAAGTGTTGCACCTTGAACATTCTAGAAAATGCAATTACAAATACATTTTGACGCATCAATTAAATCAATTGTTTCTAATATGGTTTTAAAACTATTCAAAAGTAAAATTCTAAAATTATACTTATTTTCTTTTATAAATTCTCTGAATTGAAAAGAAAATATATATTTAATAATTTATATGATCTTACCATTATATTTTCGATAAGATATTTATAATTAGATTTCATCAGATGATCATTTGCTGGGAAATTAAGAGATTGGAGTATTTCAGATTTAGTTATACCTTCAGCACCTGAGGCAAGCATACCTAGGGCTATATTTGCACTAAATGGAGATAATAAAACGTTTTTTATATTGTTCTTCGACGCTATCTATATTTATGCAAAAAGAAGAGAACACATATATGAAACATTTAAAATTCATTAGAAATTTTTTCTTTAAAATTCAGTAAGGGCGCACTCACACCTTTTGGCTGCCTGTCTGCCTGCAGGAGTTGTCATGGCAACGTGTAGGAGTAACAGAGATAGTAAATTCAAATTTGAATTTTCTCTCTCTGTTACTCCTACACGTTGCCATGACAACTCCTGCAGGCAGGCAGGCAGCCAAAAGGTGTGAGTGCGCCCTAATGCTTTACCTTGTATAAATTGTTAGCGAATATTTGCAAGTCATTAGTAAATTTGGTATCAAAATTGGATACAATTTGTTGATTGGGCAAAGAAATCCGATTACGAGGAGTTGTTACTTCATCAAATTTGGGCCAAATTACCCGATCACGAGCTGTTGATCCTTCATATCCAGGCCAGAAATATTGAGCATTTACTGTTAAAATACTAGTAGCTATCAGAAACAGCGAAAACAAATCTGAAAAAGACACAAAAGATAGGTATACATTAAGGCCAGGTCCAAGTGAGGCAGCGCCATCTACATTGATACTAAAATTTTGGAAAATTTTCAACAGCCTTTTCTTGAAAACAAGATGGTAAAATGCTTTTTCCTTTATGGATAATTGATTATTGGCAAGATATACACCAGCTAAAACTTTTTTTGAGTTAAAATAATAAAAAAAATTTCATGTCAATAAATTAAATATGAGCGCACTTTTTTCACAAAAACTGTAACAGTACTTTCTCAGAAATTACAATCAAAAATGCAATTTCCATTTGGAAAATTAATAAACGCTAAAAAATACACGACCTAAGATTTACCAATCACGAAAATAACAAAAAAAAGTATTTTAACATAACATATTTTACTCATTATGACAGCCTTTTGGCAGGTTATATATGTCACCAGACGTTTCGCAGTTTTGCCGAAAGGAGGAGATTGGCGCTGTTGCTAACCACCTGAAATACATAATCTACCAAAGGGCTGTCACAATCAGTAAAGCAGTATCAATATGTTAAATATTTAATAAAATTTTTTTTTCTTATTTTCGTGATTGGTAAATCTTAGGTCGTGTATTTTTTAGCGTTTATTAATTTTCCAAATGGAAATTGCATTTTCGATTGTAATTTCTGAGAAAGTACTGTTACAGTTTTTGTGAAAAAAGTGCGCTCATATTTAATTTATTGACATGAAATTTTTTTTTATTATTTAAACTCAAAAAAAGTTTTAGCTGGAGTGTATATCTTGCCAATAATCAATTATCTATAAAGGAAAAAGCATTTTACCTTCTTGTTTTCAAGAAAAGGCTGTTGAAAAATTTCCAAAATTTTAGTATCAATGTAGATGGCGCTGCCTCACTTGGACCTGGCCTTAAGAATCAGAATCTGTAGAAAAATTAATATTTGTGTACGCGGACGAAAATGAATTCTTGTACCAAATTATTACTAAATCTGGAACTAACAAATTTTGTTTTATACAAAAATATTATACAAAAAATATTGTTGTAGGTACAAATTCTTTAGTAATACTAACAATATATTTGTTGGTACAACAATAAAAAATTTGTTGTAAGAAACAAAAAACTTTTATTGTTACAACTAAAAATTTGATGTAGTAATAAATAATATTTATAGTTCAACAATACAAAGTCAAGTATATTTGAATCAAATAAATTGTTTTCAGTGAACCTGAACTACTTATATCTACTACACAGGATAACTTCAATAAATTATAGAAAAGTAAAAGTAATCCAAATTAACTAAATTACATGTATATCGAAATTATATTAAAATGGAATCAAAAAATATATACAAAATACAGTGAAAATACTTACGTGTGAATATCATTTTTTATTATTAATTAGATGACAATATGTTGCTGAAAATAACTTAAATAAAATTTTAAGTAATTTACTTGTGTGTTAAGTTCCGATATATATATACAGCAAAAATTAAGAAAATTCTATAAATATACAAATTCTTTACATTAGATTAATAAATAAATTTTTTTTTACGTCACAATAGTTTTTAACACTTGTATTGATAATTATTTAACACGTTAACATTTCATGAATATTTTTATAAAATTTTATATTTTAGTAAATTGTATTTTTGTTGAAAAAATTATTTTAACGATATATGTAAATTATTTCATCATTATATATTAAATTATTCAGTCATTTGCATAAATAAATTTTAAAACTTTATAAAAAAATGTCATCATAAATTATATTTAATTTAATTTGCATATTATAAAACGCAAAAAAAAAACAAATTTTTTTTAATGTTATCAGATATTAATGTTTTTCTGTTTGCTATGATTAAATAAATAAAACACTTTAAGGGGGGAGGGGGTGGGGTTAAGCAATTTGTGACGACCTTTAGAAAATATGGCACTAAAGTATGTAACAATGTTTCTTTTTATACCAATTTTTAATTCATTGAATTTTTAAGACGCCCTAATTTTCATTTGTCCGAAATTACAAATACGGTCGCAAAAAAAAATCGACAGAAAGATTGCGGTGCAATTTTAAAAATTGCGCCGAAATCTTTCTGTCGATTTTTTTTGTGATTATTTGTTATTTCGGACAAATGAAAATTCGGCGTCTTAAAAATTATATAAATTAAAAATTCGAATAAATTAAAATTAAGTGAATTGGAATATTTGTCATTTAAAATTCCGAATCACATTAATTTACATAAAGAAAAATAAATATACTATAATATAATACAGTAAACACTTGAAATGGAAACTTCTACATTAAAAATTCACTTATTAGAAAAATGTTAATTTACAAAAAAAAAATGTAGAAAAAAATTTTAAATTACTTCTTTTTAAACGTTTACCAATGCCATCTATAAATAGATTGTAAAAACTTATTAAGAACAAATTTTGAAATATCTCATATGGTACATATCATAGTGAAGATAATAAGAGTTAAAAGGTTTCTACTATTTCGACAATTGATACTTGTAAAAAAATTCCCTATGGAAAATTGTATATTTGTTATATTTTTTAATTCAACTACTTACTGTTTATTTTGAATAAAAAGAAGTATTTAATTTTAAAAAAAAATTGAAAGTCTAAATATTTTGAATGGCAACGATAGATAAGTAAGTTATCTGTAATTTTTAGAACCCAATAACTGGCGCCCACTGGTGATTTTTTCAGAAACACATGAAATCGATCCAAAAAAAATTAAATTAAAAACAAAAATTTGAAAATAAATTTATAATTTTTTAATGTAAAAATAATTCCTGTGTAAATAATTTAAAAAAAAAACGTAAAAATTACAAAAAAAAAACTTTATAAATAATTCGCACATATAATTTAATTAATCAAATTTGCGTTATTGTAATTGCAAAAGGTATTAATTTTAATTTAAGTTTATCTTTTTTGAGAGATAAAATAACAGTTAAATCATAATCAATCTGTTTAATTCGCGCAATAAAAAAAAAATAAGTCACTCGAAGAAGAATTCTTAAGTGTCATATATGCAACGATAAAAGAAAAATAATTCATTTGATTGATGACGAAGTTAAAAATATCGTGTCTCTATACTATAATTTTCACTTCATAATTTTGGCATTAATATCAGCTTCCCTATATATAGCTTATAATGCAGCCGTAAGGTCCCACAGAAAACTGATTGATGAGAGTATATATATATAGTCAACGTTCGACCCTTCTACTTTTTTCTTATATGCATTAAACTCGCGCATATATATATATATATATACTAACGACTATTATAATACATGTCATAATCCGTTATATATATGTTACAATGAAAGGGTCCACAAAGTTTTTCATATTGACAGAGATATGTTTTTATATGCCTTATTTAGTAATTTATATATACAAGGGGACGTGAACACTAGAAAACTTGATGCTTGTTTTTTTTTAACCTTTAAACTACTATAGCGGTCTCTCAGACCGTAAATATTATTCGTTTATTTATAACATTTTTGTAATTCTGTAAACGTTTAAACATCATGTAAATACTAAATTATTAATAAATAAAATAAAATAGATTTTTCAATGTAAAAAAAATATATATATGTCAATAATTTAAAATCGACAGAAAATGCTTAGTATATAAATAACGAGAAACAAAAATAAATGATTCAATTACGAAGTGAGCATCAATACTCATTAAATGATTGTCACATCTACGATCGAATCGCGATGAACAAAGATCTTTGATTGGCATCTATATATATATATATAATAACGGATGATCGGTCAGTGAGAGTGCAAGACTATTATTTTCGGATGATATGCTGACGCGACGTTGTTGCACTGGTGCATAATCTTGTTGGTATTGAAATTCCATTTGAAACGAACACAAACATTCAAATAGTACTGTATATATAACGCATCAATGTTTGTCAGGTAACAAGAAAAAGCAGCGGGATATCCGCAACTAACTGGTATAACAGAAGCTTTCAATGGAACAAGATGTATAACAAACACAACGAGGCAAATGATCACGAGACCACTAAAAATTGTTTTTTTTTTTTTTTTATTTTCGAATTTTCTCTATTCAAAGGCAGTATTTGTTTTTTTCTAATTCTAATTCGAGACTAAAGATTTAAACTTCTCCTACTCATAGAAAGCAAAGTTTTCATTTGTAGCCTCAAAAAACATATATAAAAAAAATAAAAGTATTGATAAGTGGACCAAATCTCCGGAAACAAGATTTTTTAATTTTTTAAGTAAAAATAAAATGTAAACTCTACCTTCTCATAGAAAGCAAGGTTTTTTATTCCTGCAAGGACAAAATGGAGAATAGATTTTACAATAAATTAAATAGTGAAATGATATTCTTAAAGACAAAATGGTTGTTAGTTTGACAAACTTCTCCTACTCACAGAAAGCTAAGAATGAAAACCTTTCTTTCTGTGAGAAGGAGGAGTTTGAATTTTATTTTTATTTCTTAAATTTAATTTTCATCTTGCCTTTGGAGGTTTGGTTTACTCATCAATGCTTTTATTTGGTTTACATGATTTTTTTTTATTCTATAAATCAAAACCTTATGCTTTCTGTGACAAGGAAGAGTTTTAATTTTATTTTCATTTGTAAGATTTAATCTTCATCTTGTCCTCGAAGGCTTGGCCTAAACATTATTATGCTTTTATTTTTTGAATGTAATCTTTTACGCAACGATGAATGAAAATCTTGCTTTTTGTAAAAAGGAAGAGTTTCAATCTTGTTTCTGTTGGTTAAATATAATCTCCATTTTTTCTTTAAATATTTGTCACTTCTCACTATTTATTTGTTTAAATCTTTTCTCCATTTTAAAGCAGGCTAAGAATTGAAACGTTGCTTTCTGTGAGTAGGGGAAGTTTAAATATTATTTTTATTTGTCAAATTTTGTCTGTGGAAGTTCACCAAGTCATCATTGCCTCTATTTGAAGGCTTTATGTAGTTTTGTAGTTTTTTGAGGTAACAAATGAAAACTTTGCTTTCTGAGAGTAGGAGCAGTTTAAATCTTTTTTTTCGTATTTAAATAAGCTCTTATGTTCTTAAGAACATTTTGCACCAACGTTACAGATTACTGTTTCAAAGTTTAGTACATGTACGTAAAAAAATTTCGAGGCTTAAAAATTAAATCATCATCTTCATAACAAAATGATGAACTGATCAGATTTATAAAAGGAAAAAAAGATTATATTGTTAATTGTATTATTGATAATGCTGCAATTTCAGCCAATCCAAGTTAATCTCTTGCCTTTAATAATCCTCGATTTAATATTACTCCTCATTTCCGTATATGAAGCAAATGCGCGGCTTCTCTTTTGGATGATCTCGCTTTCGCGCCGCAAGTGCACCTACTATAATGCTTAAAGAGCAGAGAGGGATTTCATAATGCGAGAGATGAATACATATATATATATATATATACGTATAACGTTGAGGTACGTTGACGAGCGCATTGTGTAGCCGGGCAAGTAACGAGCTACACGAGTCACGCTGCGTCACGTTTATCCCAAATGCCACCCTCACTTTTGCTTATATATATATATATACCATATAGTATATATATTCCTCTCTTTTCACTGTTCCGCCACAACACAACAACGACTAAATTTATGCCATGGAATTGACTAAAGCTGCTGCTGTTACTACTACTGCTGTATTTATGCGACATAACCAATGTGTATTTACGCGACCAATAATAATCGTGAGGATACAAGTGTGACGTAACGACTTATCATACATATACATAGTAGCGCCTAATAACAGGGTTGATTGTTCTCGTGTTAAATTCGAGGGTTGACACCCCACGAGGCAATTTGATACGGCCAGCTGCGTGTATATGGCGCTTCGACTTTTCAAATTTTCTAAGATCTTTGTACTTCCGATTTTTTTTTCTTTTTTAATTCGATATGGTTATATGATTTATCTCTTTTAGTCAAGTGCAATAATTCCAGAATCATGAGCGAGGGTTTTTATTTAAAATATTCAATAAGTTTCTCATTTATTTTTTTTCTCATTTCTTATTTATTTATAGAACTGGCTAACTAGCGCGCGTGCAGTTTCTATACGTCGTGAAATAATAAATTAATAATATATTTCTAATTTTCACATTATCATTTATTTATACACAGAGAAAAATCAGTTTGATGTTATATAAATATAGTGATTTTTTTAGCTGAGGCAGCTTATAATTTTATAGCTAATATAGCAAAACAATTTAGCTAAGTTAATTTTTAAATTTAATAAACTTGTAAAACTATTAGTTCGATTTGTTAACGGTAACAACAATGAAAGCCCCAAGAAAAAATTCCACCGAAAAAGTGATGATAATAAGAAAAACATTAATTAAAACCGCATCAGTGACAATTGACTGCGTGTATAAATATTGATAAACCAATTCTAGTATCGCCATAACATAAGAAACATTTTGAAAAATATAAAACAAAAAGTTTTGTTATGTTTTGAACTTTCAACTTACATAAATTGAAAATTGAAAACAAATTAAAAAATTTTTTGTTAAAATATTATATTTATCTGTAATAATCATTATATAAAAAATATA